ATATATATATTCAACTGTTATACTGTCAGCTGTTTCCCTCTTACAATGCTGTTACTGCTAGCATCACTCAGTTGTGAACAGCTCCTCAGAATGAAGAAGTCTGTTGGATGAACAACAAAACTTTTCTTTAATTTTTTGTTTTTTGAATCCATCCAGAGGACCAGACTTAACTTTTTTTTTTAGATTTTTCTACCTGGATTATTGAACATGCATCAGGATATTTACATTGCATTATTGTTATTTATTTTTGTTGTTGTTGTTGTTTCCGTATTCCCATATTATTGTTTTCCATTCCAAGGTTGTTGTGTGCCAAAGAACTGTTTTACAACAACAACACCTCTGCGTCATTTTCGTGCTTGTCATGAAAACAATGAGGGAAACAGCGCTGGACGCAGTCAAGGCAGGTAGGCTTTTTCTTTTCATATTTTGTTAATAAATCATACTATCAACAACAATGACATTACATATTGCACACACACGTATCACAATATGAACACACAAGAACATTTATTGTCCATGCTCCTTGAGTGAGTTCTGTACCTTTTAACTCAGTGAAGTGTAATCTTGTTTAATGTGACCACAGTGGAGGAGCTGGATGAAGTTTCAGTGTCTGTAGACAGACAGCCATTCAACATAGTCCAAAACGAAGGCTTCAGGGAGTTTGTGGCAAAATTAGATCCCACCCATGTTCTCCCTACTAAAATGGTACGTGTGGTGACATTGAAAAATATTAGAGTACTGTTGAAATAACTATTGTTTTTCATTTCTTTAGGCTGCTAAGGCTTTGACTGAGACCAAATATTACAAAGAGAAGACCAGCGCCGCAGTATAGAAAGTACCTGCTGTTAGTTTGACAGCAGACATGGGGACAGGCAGGTTACTTACTTGGCCATAACCTGCCAGTTCCTTGACAACACACGTCTGAAGTCAACTCTATTGGTGTAGGGAAATTCCCACGGGGACATACTGCACAAAATCTGGCCTGGGTAAAATCCTCCCTCATGGAAGAATGGGAAATAAAACCTAAAATTACGTGTTTAGTTACAGTTGGGGCATCAAATATGATTGCTTATGGCAAAACCCTGAAACTGTGCCATTTGCATCGCTCACACTCTGAACCTGGTTTTGAAGAAGGCTCTTGAACTCACCCGTCTGTCCTTCATACCAAGGCAAGGAAGCTGGTGACATATTTTAGAAGCAGCACAACTACCAAAGTTATAGTTAAGCATTCACACTATTGTGATCCCATTTATATTATCGTTGGTTACTATCATAGAGTATCTTAGATTAAACATAAATCATCCGCTGCCTTTCATGTCAGAGTTTTAGATCTTCTTGTTTAGCTGTACCCAACCTTTAAAATGATGCTACACACAATTAATGTGATGCAGTGCAATCTTCTGCAAATCTGACTGAGTTATAATTGTTTTAGTGTTAGCTAATGTCAATTAGCTGTGGCAGCCATTTTGAACTGGAATTACACCAAAGGGTTTTCAGCTCCAAGGATTGCTTTTATTGTCTTCTTCACTTTTTGTGCAATCCCTCAGTTCCTCGTTGCATGAAAGAGTCCCCATCGTTGGTCTCCACTTTTGGAACGTTCCAGTTTTTCTTTCCATCCATTAACTATTGCAAAATAGTCCTCTTCAGAAAATTCCTGCAGGGGAAAATGACCAATATGTTGAGAAAATTCCCCAAAGACAGCCTGAGAAATCCTATCAACACAACTACAAGTTAAACTTATCATAAGAGGATGCACATTGCAAATATTGACCTCAATAAATTCATGTTTAATGTCTTCTGCTCTCTGCAGCTCAGACTTGATCACTTGGATGAATTGGGTCGTCCGATCCTCCACTTGAACGCTGCAGAAACCAGCTCTCTGAATGAACTGCAAGGTGAGACAGAGGTTAGGTGGAGTAAAAACTGCACCATCTATTGATGGGACATTAGTAATGCATCACCAAAACGTACCACATCCTCCCCCCCAAGAAACTGTTCTTTGTTATACTTTTTAATCTCTGTGACTGTCACACAAAGTCATCAGTTCACCAATAGAATTCAAAACCATACTTCTAACAAACAAAGCTCTCAACAACCTAGCTCCATCTTATAGAGATCATATTGTTTCATATTTCCCTAACAGACTTTGATTTCAGACTGCAGATTTACTTGTGATTCCTAGAGTTTCCAAAAGCAGAATGGAAGGAAGATCTTTCAGTTATCAGGCTCCTCTCTTGTGGAACCAACTTCTTTCCATAAGGCTGTCCAGTTTTAAGACTGGGCATTCCTTTTTGATAACTCCTATAGCTAGGGTCAGCTTGGGTTTCCTTAGTTATGTTGATAAAGGCTTAGACTGCTGGCAGACAAATTTCCTCACTCTGCCGCTGTCTTTACTTGCTCTACTCTACCTGTTTGTATTTGTAATTATTTCTATCCTTAACATGTGATTTTGTCCTTCCTCCAATAGAAACTACACCTGGACCTGCCATTCTGTGTTTGTTCCTCCTTCCTGTCCTCTCAAACCCCGAAGAAGATTTGTCCTGAGCCTGTTTCTGCTTGAGGTTTCTTCCTGTTAAAAGGGAGTTTTTCCTTTCCACTGTTGCCATTGTGCTTGCTCAGGATGGGAGACTGTGATGAAGTGAAGATTCAATGCAATCTGCTGGCGTCCTTAGATAGATAACTTTACTAATTGACTTTTTAACGTATGTGAATGTTTCTGTTCAGTGCCCTGAGACGTCTTCTGTTGTGACTTGGCGCCATAAAAATAAACTGAATTGAACTGAATTACTTTGAGACTAAACACTGTATATACCTTTGATCTTTATGAGGGATTGATTAGGAGATGATTTAGTTTGAACTTTGACTGTATTGCTGTTACTTTGGTCATATAGTTCAGTGGACTTGATAGTACTGAAGACAAGTGCTCTGACAGCCATTTAGCTAAAACCAATCCAAAGTATCAGTGGTGTGACAGCTGTAACACCTCCTCTTAGGAGCACCTTCATCACAGCGCACTTTTCTGTGTAAAACATTAACAAACTCGCATGAATACTGGACACTGGAGTTACCCAGTTTTTAAGTGATGTGACTCAAATCTATATAATCTTTTTTATTTTATTTGTGAATTAATCGCAAGTTGAAATTTCCAGTTTCGTATCAGTTGAATTTTTGTGATGTGACAATAAATCAAACTGATGTATGTTTGTATAAAACATAAATAATCCAATAATTGTATCATTCTCCAACATAGCCTTCAAACATTTCACATTGCAAAGAGATAAAACAAACAAAAAATAATTACAGGTAATGCCAGAGACGTAAAAAATCACGACAGTTTTGTGGAAATCATATCAAAAATGATTGTGATGTTTGAGGAAAATATTTCAGGACAACAAAAGTCCCATATGCTTCAATAAAATTAAAAACGTACATTTAACTTAAACCAAAGAATGAGTTTTTCTTTTAAAAAAATGGATAAACTAAATATTTCTAATCTTAAATATTGAATGATATAGTTTACTGGTGTCAGAATGTGATCAATGGTGGTCAGATTCTGGAAAATATGATCAGAGCTTCAAACTCTCCAGAGTTTACTGTAGATTTTTTAAAATAAACTCTGAGGCTCCCCTGCAGGTTTACCTTGCCATACTCTGCAGGTGTGTACAGGACGTATTCTCTTTGTTTGACGTAAGCCTCGAACGCTGGAGTCCAGGGTTTCTCCCCACAGCAGTAATCACTGATAAGCAGCTGGCCGCCTGGCTTTAACCACGACTGGATGTAGTAAACCAAAGATAAGTTCACGATAAAGTGGGAAAAGCACAACACAAATCCTTATGTGGCAAATATGGGTTTTATTTAGATTGGAAAAAAAAAATAATACTCACATGGAATTGTTTAAAGAGTGCTAATTTGTCATCTATGTGCAAGATTGTATCTCTGCTGTAGATCACATCAAATGAGCCTTCTGGAAATGTTCTCCTGGTGGCATCAGCTACTTCAAACTGCACCTGAATAAAACAAATTCGAAACAAAAACTTATTTACACTTTTTTATAGGTGCAGACACACAAAAAAAACAAGTGCAGATATTGCATCTCTCTCTCTCCTTCAGGCTGTAGGTCCCACTCCTTTTGGAGCAGGAGCAGGTTTACTGGAGCCTCAGACAGAAAGGCATTATGGAGAAGCTAGTTCGGATTGTTAGTTCCATGTACGAAGGTGTTAAAACAACAGTCAGAACTGGAAAAGGCAACACAACAGCATTTGAGATTAAAGTTGGTGTTCATCAGGGTTTATGTCTCAGCCCACTGTTGTTTATTGTTGTGATGGATTCAGTTACCGAGCTTATTTAGGAGAGAAGTGCAGTGGGATATGTTGTACGCAAATGACCTAGTTGTGGCTGAAGTAAATCTCCAGGATGGTTTCAGATGGTGGTAGTAGGCACTGGAGAGTAAAGGTCTGAAAATGCAGTAAAAACAGAGCCCACGGTCTACTCGAAAGCTAACAAGACCTTAACAACCACTGATAATAAAGGAGATGTACTGAAGCAGGTCAAAACATTAGGGCAGGGGTGTCAAACTCACTTACAAAAGGGGGCCAAAATTAAAAACTTTTTCAAACTAAGGGCCGGTTTCAGAATCTACATTAACTCAAGTTAGATACCCAACATCTTTTCTTGGTTGCAGGTTCCTCAAGAGTTTGATTGGTTTCATTTGACATTCTCTGTTGCACTTTTGACATCATAAGCAAAGATTACTAAAACATAAAAGTAAAAAGGTATTTTATGTTGAAAATAACATCTTGGGGGACAGATAAGATGTCAACAAGGGCCACATTTGGCCCCCAGGCCTTGAGTTTGACACATATGCGTAAGAGTGTCTGGGGTTGGTGATAAATGCCAAAGGAAGCTGTGAAGAAGTTAAATGCAGAATTGATGTGGTGGGGCAAAAATTGAAGGAGCTGACAGGAGTACTTTGCAACAAAACAACGCCGATTCATATTAAAGGGAAAATGTACAGGGTGATGGTGCACCCAGTCTTGCTTTGTGGAGCTGAGGTATGGACATTCAAGAGAAAGGAAGAGGAATTCCTGGAAAGAATAAATGCGGATGCTACGTGGGATTATTGAAGTATCCCTCAAGGATAGATGGCGAAATGACAATATCAGAGAAACGCTTGTTGTGGCATGCATCACAGATAAGATACAGGAATCAAGAATGAGATGGTATGAGCATATGCAGCGAATGGAAATGCAAAGTGAAATGAAACTTTGCGAATGCAAAAATTTTCGGTCAATGAAGCAGGGGACGGCAGAAGAAGTGGTGGATGGATATGATCCAACTGGATATGAAGACACTCCATCTCACAACAGACTACACATGAAGCAGAGTAAATTGGAGAAGGAGAATCCATGTGACTAAAAAAGCAGATTTTGCATATTTTTAGACAAAGCGTTAATAAGTCTTTTAGGTTTCACTTAAACTAACAAAATAGGAGAGTATACACATTATACATACTGATGGCAGCTTCTCACTTCTCGCCCGCTCCATGGCGATCTCAACCATGTTGTCAGACAGATCCAAACCAAGAACATACACCCCAAACGTCTGAAAAACATCATAAAGCTCCCATTTTTATTTGGTTTCTGTAGTCATTCATTGAGTTATTGGCAGCAGCACAATCCAAAGCAGATTTTGTGGCTCTTTACCTTGGCCATGTAGAAGTCTCCTCCACCAATACCACAGCCAACATCCAGAACCTTCTGTCCAGGCTTCAGGTTCAGTAGATCCACAAACTCCTGTCAGTACATAAATAAATAAAAAAAGTTGAATCTTATTTAAGTGAGATTAAAACACACTTTACGTCATTAACAACTGGGAACCATCCAGCAATCCGTAATGTCAGTCTGTGGTTTATCAGTTTATTTATATGTATTATTGTGTTTATGCCATATTGAAGCAACCTTAATACCACTATACTGCCCCCACCGTGCTTCGCTGTGTGATTCTTAGTAGTCAGGGGATGAGCAGGGTTTGTAGTTAAAGATTTGCAATTTCTGATCACATAACTGTTATTTATGCAGCTTGAGTCCTTTAGATGTAATCTGACAAATTCAAAGACATTTTCCACAACCACTTTTGTTATGATGCATAACCATAACAACAAGGTGTTTTTTTTTTTTTTTTTACAACCGGGAACAGCTGATTAACATCTCAAAAGCTCAAATATTACCTCAACTACAGCCCCAAATCTCCAATGAGTTGAAAAGGAGGCTCCGTGGATGCATTTTCATCTACATGCCGGCTGTGCTCGAGTGCCTAACCACTGAAATCCTACGATCTCCAAAGGAGATCCTGGAACTGGCAGGAAATGTGGCTCGTGACAGCAAGGGGACAGGGATCATCCCCAGGTATCTGCAGCCAGCTGTCCACAGCTACGAGGAACTCGGGATGCTACTGGGAGGAGTGGCCATCGCTCTGGGAGGTGTTCTGCCTGGCATTTGGGCGGTCCTGCAGCCCGGGAGAACCGAGAGGCCAGCCGAGTCTGAATGGACGGATTGGACAGCATCTGCATCCAGTTTCTTCGAATCTTCCGTGGGACGGACCTGTACAAGAGATCCTTCCTGCGTACAGCCATCAGTATCATCTCTTAATGAAATGAGGATGATGAGTTACAACAACATTTAATTTCCCTTTAGGATTAATAAAGTATTTTTAACTGAATTGAACTGAATGGAAACTTGCTGCAGATGCATTCTAACTTTACTTAATATTTAACATTTTAAATCGTTACTGCCTGTTTAATATACTGTAGACCAGGACGACCACCGCAAACCAAAAAAGGAAGAAGCAGGTAAAAATAATTGATGGATGGATGGATGGATGCTCAGGGGGGCCACAGTTACTGAAACCTGCCAGAAATCCAGCAGTTATTGTCATTAACTAAGCTTGTTTTACAGTTTAAAATCTAGTTTTATTTAAAAATGAACCCATTGGTGGGCCAAACCGAGATCACCAGTGGCCTGATTTGGCCCCTGGGCCACCAGTTGAATAGCTCTGATATAGACTGAAATCACTCTGAGACAGATGAGAATCCCACTATTTTCCTTGGTGTTTCATAATGAACTGGTGTAATTAACATTTGTATATGAACCCTAATCTAACGGCTCTTATTAAAATGTTTCATTCAAAGATCTAAAATAAAAACTGGGAGCGCTTCTTTTTGTATTTAATTTTTTTACTCTCTAATCTCCAGTCTTGCTCCGAGCTCTGTTCTACACCATGTTCCTACCTTGGTGGTGCTGGGTCCACCTGTGCTGACGTAACCAGCTCCAAACATCTTCTCGTAGCGCAGGATGCCTCGGCGGGTGTACTGCTGGTTGTCCAGGAACTGCTGGAAGGTACCGAACCCGTTCTGTGTGTTTGAGGAACGGGGCACCTTCTGCAGCAGCCAGCAGATCTGATGTGGATTGTTTTTCATCTGAAACAGGAAGGTTAGGCGTTGAAGGAATATGGACGATGCGCAGCTGCAGATTTCTAAAAAAAGTGTCAAATTCTTAAATTAAGCCAGAGTTAAAACTTTACCTCAACGTAGGTTTGAACTTTCTTTTTAAACACAATGTCGAAACCAAACGTTTTGCTCCCATCTGGTGCCTCCACCTGTACTGACGTCACCAGGTGACTGTATTGGGCCTCGCTGCGGTAGCAAGTGGGGTTAAAGTCTCTCTTGCTGTCACCTTTAAAACAAAAGGAAACAAGTCTACTCCACTGAATTTGTGAATATACTCTAATGTAAAGCATCATGGTCCTGAGGTGTGTTTAGACTGCAGAAGCAAAACCTGAACTGTGAACCTGATTTCAGTACAAGAAAAAAAAGTTTTACTGTGGGTTTGGTACCAGAGCGATGGTTGCAGGACTCTCTGAAAAAGAGGAAACCAGCAGGCTGCAGCCAGTTCAGCATTTTCTCCAAACAGGACTGGAGCTCTTCATCACTCAGGTACATCATCAGCCAGTTGGAGAAGATGAAGTCAAAGCTAAAAGACAAATACACAAGTAGTGTATTTATGTGAGGAATGAGGGACAGATAAGAGCAGCTGAAGATTTCCAACACAAATGACATAAAAAAAAAGGATGTGATGCTTTTAATTTGTAACTCTCAGCCTGTTATCGTGGTTTTAAATATTTAAAAAGTAGAATTTGGCCAAGATGGTATGATTTCATAGAAAAAAACGTGTCCTTTACATAGCCTACATGAAAGGGAACTGTTTCATTTTTATTCTTTTTGTGAATATTAGAAATGAAGATACCACTAAAACTGGAACTGCAGCCGGGGAGTAGATGTTCTGTTACTGGGTCACCAACATTTATTAGTGTGAATGTTTATGAAGTATTCATTATTGTGATCCATTTTTCTTCTGATTTTCGGTGCAAATCTCGTCCCACACTTTTCAAGCTATTTCAACAAATCATATATAAAACATTATTGAGCTCTTTCAGAACAATCCTGCTGTGACTTTTGGCATTGGTGCAACTTTAACTTTTTGAAATATTTAGTCTTTTCTGACATTTTTTTTCTCATAGAAAATGAATTGGGTTCATTTTACATCCTTCAAATCTTTGGATCTGTTTACAACATTTTACTGCTTCTTTCACATTTTGTTCTGCTTCAGCTTCTTTCTGTTTCCGTGTGCAAATGTAAACTTTTTTCCAGCTATTTTCAACTACTTTCAGCTGCTTTTTCAGCTGTTTTGTTATCCTTTAAGCTTTTTTCTGCTAACTAAAACATTTTTGCGCTTCTTCTAACTTCTTTCTACTAATTTCAACTTTTTATGCTCTTCAGCGAATTTCTGCAAGTTTCAGCTTTTTCAGCTACTATAAACCTGTTTTTATACTAATTTGAGCTTTTTCAGCTTATTTCACATTTGTTGCATGCACTCATTTCAACTTTTTTTCCAGCCTAATTCATCAAAAAATGTGCTCTCTCCACTTCCTTCATGTAATTTCAGCTTCTTTCTGCCTTTTAGCTATTTTTCAGCAGTTTTTTTGTTGCTAATTACAGCTTTTTTCAGAGAATTTCCACTTTTCCATGCTAATTTTGCTTCTTTCAACAAACATGTTCTTTCTGCTTTCTTCTGCTCTTTTAAGCTTTTTATACCTTTTCAGCTACTTTTTTAAATAACATATTTAGCTAATTTAATTGTTTTCAGATAAATCCAAGGTTTTTGTGATAATTTTTTTCTTTCAGCCTAATTAACGTCTTTCTGCTAATTTCAGTTTTTTATGCTCCTTTCAGCTTTTTTCTGCTAGTTCAAGATTTTTCAGCTATTTCAGCTACTTTTTAGCTGTTTCATGCTAAATTAGCTTTTTCAACTAATTCCACTTTTTTTTTTTTTTTAGCTCATTTCAGCTTCTTTCACTTCCTTTTGGTGGTTTAAGCTTCTGTTTGCTTTTTCAGCTAATTTTCAGCTACTTTTGCTAGATTCAGATTTTTTAGTTAATTTCCTAATTTTTGGGCTCATTTCTGCTAATTTAAACCTAATTAGGTGTTCTTTCTGTTTTCTTTTACTTACTTAGTCTTGTTTTTCAATTTCAGCTACATTTCAAGCACGTTTTTAGCTAATTTCAGTTGTTTTTCAGCAAGTTCTTCAGCAACAAGCGTTCACACTACTTTTTCTCAGGAAATGCAATTTTTCTGTTTTTAATAACATTTAAAGTAACTGAAAGTTATTCATTACATCTTATCACACTTTTTGTTCATTGAATATCTAAATTATTTTATCGGGCAACAGCTTAAAGTAAAAGATTCACTAAAAAGCAGCTTCATCTTTGTTTTAATTGTTATTTAGCATGAAGCATCATTTACACACCTGAGTTGGGGCAAACCCAGCTTTGTTACGTCAGCTTGAATGAAGGTGGCGTTGCTATGGTGACCATTGTCCTTCCTGTTCTTCTCTACAAAGCTTTCCATGAAGTCCACAGCCGTCACGTGGGCAGCCACGGTCAGCAGGCGGCTGGTGTAACGACTGTAGAGGCACAGGGCAGTTTTCTATATAACATATGTAAAGTGCATCTCAGTCAACCAACTTCAGCTAATACATTTACATCAAGCTGCACTCTGAGCTGCAAAGAATGAGTTTTCCTATAATAAAACCCTTGCTAACAAACAACAAAACAAAAACAATAAGAGATAAAAAGGATAAAACGTCAGCTCAGTTTAATGAAGCTGTGTTCTCCTCACCCAATCCCCGCTCCCAGCTCCAGCACTCTGTATCCAGTCAGAGGAGGCAGCATGGAGAGGATCTCCGGCAGCTCCTGCTCAGTCAGCTCCTTGGCACGAGAATCCAGCATCATCTCCTCCACTGTGGCGGCCTTGGAGTGCTCCTTCCAAAACTCTGTCATGTTGCAGCGAACTGTCGAGCACGCAGACGAAAAGGGCAAAATAATGTGCGGAAACACAAACGATATGATACAGGACAACCCAACTAAAGTAAATCAAGCCATTGATAATATTGTGAAATAAATGCAGCTGATTAAATCTGCATGATCTTATCACACAACTCCAGCAACAAGTTACTGAAAAACTGGTTTTATGCCTCTCATGTTAGTTGGGTTTACCTCAAAGATGACTTGTGTTACAATAATTCAGTTTAGGGGTTACATTTTATTGTTTATTAATTATTTAACTGGTGTTTTCCTCAAAAGGTTTTCATTTGCAGTTTAAAAAAAAAAGAACATTTTGTGGAGATGCAGTCAAAATCCACAAACTTTAAGAAAGCATTTGATAAAAAGTCTCTATATGAAGATAGGCTGAAGTTTTAAAAGCAGCACCAATGAACACAAAACTCTTCTCAGTAATGCCAGAAGGAAGAAAAAAACAAGATAAAATGTGCTTTTATTTGCACATTATTTGGCAACATAAAATAAACTGAGATGAAATGCATGCACTCCCAGCAGGACGACAAACAATCCAAACTTTGGTGTCATGATTTGCAGCATGGCTCCATTTCCATTGTGTCGTACCTTTCTCCATGGTGCTCTTTGGCTGATCACAGAAACCTGAAAGTGACTCTACAGCAGCAGCAGCAGCAGCCCCTCCTGGACAAAGTGCAGAGTTCATCTGGTGCGCCCTTTAAATAACTTCGCACCAGTGGCGCGTGGAGGAGGTGGTCGGCAGGAAGGTAGCTGACCATTAGGATGCGCCCATTGCATGGGAAGGGGAGGGAATGCGCGTGAATAATCAAACCCGGGGACGGACTTCCCCTGACAGCGTGTCAGGCCCCCAGCTCGGCCCCGTCACCCTTTTGGCCCAAAAATCAGCTGTGCGCGCTGACGCGCTGCACGCGGCTTATTACGCAATGTTGCCTCATGCGAGGTGGTGTGGTTGTTCTGAGCGTTGAGAGTGGAAAACTAAAAACTGATAAGCAGATAAATAAGATAAAGGGAAGTTTGATTGAATGTGCACATTTTTGTCCGGAGCGCTTATTACGCAACAGTTAATTACGCATTCATGATAAATTGGGTCAACTAGGATGTTACCATTAGATATGGATTGTGTTTTGGTTTTAAATAAAGGCAAATCTTTGGTGGTCAAGTTGATAAAAAAAACAATAAAATTGCACATAGTGTGTGCTGTTTTACTTTTTTTTTTTTTAAATAATAAAAGTCAATTTACAGCAATATTATTTTACCTTTCAATAATAGAAAGTAACATTTTAGGTGGCTAAAATGTTTTATTGATTATTCTGGATTTATGATGCAACAAACTTGACATTTTCATGGCGAACTCTTGTTAGGGCAGGCCAATTTGTCATAAAATAGTCAGAGTGATTCTTCATTTTTTTCAAGTCAAAGAGGACAATTCTGCTGTCCAGAGTACCATTCTTTCTTTTTTATATCCTAAATGTACTAATGAAGACGTGTCTCGTCTTGTCTCTTAATTACTTGTTTAGATTACAACGTTTTAATTAGGTTAGATGTCTTTTTGCATTTATTATAGGTCTGTTTTGTATTTATTGTTCTGTTGTGTATCTGCACTGTGTTGTTTTGCACTTTATGTTCTGTGTTGCACCGTGATCCTGGAGGAAAGCTGTTTTGTTTCAATGCTTGTACATAGCTGATATGACAATAAAACCTCTCTGACTCTGGCCTGAAATATAATATTTATTTTAAAACAAATGATGTCATGATTCCCATTAATGTTTTCTGGGCTTTCCTGAAGTGCATTTTCTAATCTAAAATGAATTTGGAAGATATTTAAAGTTGAATTATTACAAGGACAGACTCTCATATCCTTGTCACCACTCACAAGCTTTAAAATAAAAATAAATAAAACATCTTAAAAGGGTTTCTTGTCTGTATCTTGAGTTTGAAGAGAAACGCGTGCATTTTCACCACCTGTTGGGTGCAACAGACCCCAACAGCACAGGACTGTGGAGGTGGATGTGTTGAGATTACATGTCACAACAACCTGCCATACACAGTTGAACCAGAACTATCTCCACATTGTTCAGTAGTGTCAGACAGCGGTTTGATCACTTTGAATGGGAAACATATTGAAGTTGTCACAGCTCTCTGCACTTCCTGAGTCCCCTGGTCTTCTTTCTCACACCTCTGTTATTGCATCATGAGCTGGAAATGTTGACAACTCACTTCTTCTACCTACTTGTGTCCTACATGAACTTGTTTTAGCCTCGTTATACAGATGTTTCATCAATTTGGTTGTATGGCTGAGCTGCACTTTGCACAAAGTGAATTTGCCTGTGAACTTTGTCCCGTGAATTCCTGCCAAGTTCTGCCAACAACAGATAAAACCATCAGAAAACAAGGCGAGTTCAGCTTACATAAAAGCAAATGTGGGATTAAAAATAACGTATTCATGTAAAGTAATGTTGCACTCTTTTCAACATTAAAATATTGAAACGAAACAAAACTACCCTGAAGTATTAGACTTCCTACATGTTTGACGGTGTAGCACTTTCTGCTGTTCCTTTTACTCACACATGATGGTGACAATTTGTCAAAAAAGGTGCAACAAGAGTGAAAAAAGAGGTTTCCGCTGATGAATATAGTATGAGAGTAACAATAAAACTTGTTTGTTTCTATAACCAAATGCTTTTAACTATATGAGAATAACCTGTACATAAAGGTTGAATGAAAATAGTGTAGTAAAAAGAAAAGAATGGTGGAGTGATGGTGCAGTGGTTAGAGAAGGTTGGCCTGTGATGTGAAGGTCCAGCTGCTCCCCTGGGTGCCCCAGATGGCAGCTCTCTGCTCCACACAGAGGGCTGTGGTAGATCGGTGGTCTGTGGTTGCATCAGGAAGGACATCCTATGTAAAAACAATTGCCAAGTCTTTGTGCGAGTTGATTCTCTATGGTGACCCCTGAAGAAGGGAGCAGCCGAAAGAAGAAGAAAAGTGTAGCCAAAAGAGCAGAAAACCTCAGAAGAACTCTGTATGTGACATAAACCATCCGGTCGAGGGTCACTTTCTTAGAATTACTGAAAAAGATTTTCTGAATTTGTTTCGTGTCTTCACTCTGTCTGAGTTGTGTGTGCAAGCACTGACTTGTTAAAGTTGTCTCTGACTCGTGTGCAGTCTTGTGTGTCGGCGTGTTTGACTTGTTGCACACAAAGTCCACTGTGCCGAGACTAAAGCGGATGAGGTCAGCCCGTGTCATCAGCTCCTGCCGACAAACAGGAGCTGAAAAATGGCCACAATGTTTCCAGCACATGTGTTTGTGATGTGTTTATCTTATCTTTTAGTGCTGAAAGGGAATTGGTGACTCATTTCTGAACTAATTTAAACAAAGTGCGGTTTACACCAAGTTTGTTTATGTCCACAGGTCTGTTGTAGTCACAGCGCATTAGAAGTTCCTGCGGCTGTTTTAAGTTATTGTTAGTTCAAGAACTGACCGTTATATCTGAGTTCAACATGAGTCTGTCACAAGAAGAAGTCAGCAGCTATTGTGTTCAGATGATTTGAAACATTTCTATCGCCATGGCGACCAGGCAGATGCTACAAGAACAACAGAAAGAAAATACAAAACCCATAACAAGATTGATCAGACTGATGGGAGTCGGCATTTACTTTAAATCAAAATATGAAAACAATTTTACAACCTCTGTAAAAGAAAAACAGGACAAAATCAATTTGCAACTAATTTAATTTAAAGGTAGTCGTTGCAAAGTCATGAAGACCGGAGAAAAACAATCAAACCAGAAACTAGGACACAGTTTCCACACAATTGGTGGCTCTTGTTTTTATTTTTGTTTACTTACGGAAACAGCAAAGATGACTAAAACTAGGCCAAACGTTAAACTATATTTGTTTACCTACACACAGCCAGCCTGAAGAAGGTCAACTATGTGACCATCATGTTTTGTTTACATTGAGCGTGGACCCACATTTCAAAACTGCATTCTGTACATCTGGAAAACTACCACAGTAAACCTTTTCAAACTGTATCTTTTAGTAGAATTCAGCATTCAGAATCTTCAGTTTCTGTACGCAACATTATTTTACTGATTCGTGGGCATGACTATATTCATAACATGATTAAAAAGAACACTTCAACACATTTGGGAGAGATTAAAGCAGTGCAAGAAGCAATGATGGCAACAAGAGTTGGAAAACAAACATACAAATGAGTTCATGATGATGTGTTTCTGCAGGACGTGGAGCTTCTGCAGAATCCTCCTGGATGAAGTGTGAAGTACCGTATTTTTTGGACTAGAAGGTGCACTTTGGACGCTGGATTATTGAGCATGCATCAGGATAAGGTGCACTTTAATTTTCTCAAGAATTGACAATGAGTCTTATAATCAGGTGTGCCTTATGTATTAACTCTGGTTGTGCTTACTGACCTTGAATCGATTTTATGTGGTTATTGTGAATGAGTTGAATACATTTTGACTTATTTGACTCTTGTTTCGCTTAATGCGCCTTATAATCCGGTGCACTTTATAATCTGAAAAATACAGTAATTTTAAAGATTCAGTCGACAGGATTTAGTGACACCTAGTGGCATAAAGTAAAAACTGCATCCAACTGAATAACTCACAGCCAGACTGGGTGTAAAAAACATAAAGAAGGCTGTGTTTAGTTTGACCTGCATTTAAATGCAAATACAACACGATGACAGCGTTTTATCTTTTTCCCCTTTATTCAAAAATTAATCATCAAACTAATTTAAATTCTGTTTGACTGTAGCTGCTTTTAGAGCTCGTCTCGATTCTGTCACGAATCAGGTTCATTCAGAAAAAGGAGCCAGTTGAGGATGAGTAGCTCTGCTGCCGACCGCTCCTGATTTCCGTTTCTGTTTGTAAGAACGAATGTTCTGAGGCCTAAACACAACCAGACACCAGGGAAGCTGTCTGCCAACAAACAAAACCTCTGGGAACATTTCTTCTGTCTTACAACACAAGGTGGAGTCTGTGCCTTCTGTGCAGGACAGGTTTGTTTTGTAAAGTTTGCCCTTTTGTGGTTGGCAAATATTCATGTGGTTAAAATGCCTGAGCCGTCTCTTGGTAACAAGGTAAATTCTTTTACACACCATTCATGACAAAACAAGATTTAGTTGAAACTAATTTTAACAGGGAATAAAGCACTTAGAGAATGAATCCACCACCAAAGCTATTAGCTTAATAAAAATAACCATAATCCTATTGAGATTGTCCTTTAGCCAAACTTTACTTTTTGCCTAACAAAAGTTAAGTTAGGTCCTCTGGACAGAAAAAACAAACAAACTTATTGAAATGTTTTGTCTTTAATCCAAAAAACTTTGTCAGTCTGAGGAGCTGTAATAAGCTCAGTCTTATAAATATCATCTTCTCATAGTGTGTCAACCAGTTTGTTGTTGACACCCAGAACTAGCTGTTCACATGATAAAGGAGGACCATCAGCCTACGGACTGATAGTTAGTGCCCTGAAGGTTGCTTGCTATTCACAGAGGGCTGAGTGATGCTTGCAATAACAAGAGGGGGACAGTTGGACAGTTGGACACGGAGGCCCCTGTTTAATGATGGACAGTTTATTTTCACAAAGATGGCTTCCTTCACTCCTCTCTCAAACCATCGTTCCTCTCGATCTTTCAGGAATAGAG